GAATCGCCGTTATAAGACCCGTTAATGGCGCTAACCCTGCTATCCTGATAATGCTTGCTACAAAGACTTTAACCTGCACGTCAGTTCGAGTCCGTGCAACTAACTTCGCTTGATCCTCATTAAATCTTCAAGGGTTTCCCTACAAACCTTGTGGCAATAAAATACTTGTTTTAGCCGTCCTATCTTATCTAATAATCAACTATGATGCAGTTTTTTTAAAAATGTCTTCTCTGTGTTTTCCCCCGACATTCCGCTCATTATTTGAGTTGATGAATTTTAATTAGAGTGATTCGCTTTATACTTTTTCAACAGTAACCTCATCTTTTTTTTAAGAAAGCCCTTTATTCGATAGAGTGTACAACTGTAGAAAGCGCTGTAGTTGTAACTAAAGTGCTTTTTATTTGTATTAGTCTAGCTATAGAATCATAGAATAATGATTACTCCTTGGATGGGCATCCGAGCTAATAAATAGCAAAATGTTGTAGTGTGAAATAGGCTTAGATGAAGCAAGAACTACTGGATATTGACTCTAGAGTAAACACAATCGAACTACCGGCGTTCTAAAATTTAGCACTTTTCAGATAAAAGGATTTTCGCAGGAATAAAATTGTACTTAACGTTCTTCTTTTGTAGGTTCACATGGCCCACTACATTTTTGAAAACAGACTAGGAGCAAATTTCTTTATGGCCACTTTGATTATTTGGCTACGTGGAGTAGGTTTTTTTGGGTTATAAGGGAGAAGAGTTTTGAGGATGAATATTGCTTATTTGTATTGTCTAGATGTGCTCGTGCCATTTGAAACCAAACTTTTCTATGAGTGATGTGATCTATCGTGGAATATTTACGATCTTGTATCCAGCCAGCCTGACTTCAAATAGTCATAAAATACCACCTACTTTAAGGATTATAGCTTTTCTTTTAAAAACAGGCATTTTGCTCCGATTACTCCATTACAAATGCATTATTGTAGATCTTAAGAATCCTCATTATAAGAACCTTACAAAGCCTTTTAGATACAATTAAACTGATATGTGTGATTTCAACACGGCCTGTCTGCATAAAAACAAGCAACCTTAGAAGATCTAAGTCAAGACGATGGTGATATTTTTGTTTCAATTAAATCTTAGGAGGGATTTTCATTTATACTTCAGCAGCTTCAATTTAGTTCCATACACCTTTTGCAGAGGTCTTCCAACACGATGAAACCTGGAAAAAGTGTGTTCATTTGCCAAGAGAAAACAGTTTTTATCACACATTTCATCGTTGTCTCTACAATCTTGGAAAATCGTTTTATTGAAAACTGAAAAAACTGGAATGTGTTAGGGAATAGAATAAATAGGTGATCAAACAATTTGATTTTATGTTTAATTCGTTTTAACTATTACAAACAAGATTATGCAAACATGTACAGTCGCAACTTATTTACATAAAGATAATGATTTTATTTGTATGACCAATTCCATATGACTCAAAATAGCTGGATAATATTTCTCAGTGTTTAGTGAAGACATCCTGTCTTTAACGTTCCCTGGCATCTCAAAAAATAGTCCACTCGTACGACGCAGCCATCCGCGCTTTAACTGAAAGTACTTCACTCCTTGAGAGTCTCTTTTAACCATAAGGTGTTGTGGATGGAAAATGAATAGTAGTATTTAAATATTCTATCAGTCATTTGTCGCGTAGTAATAAACCGATAAGGTTACTTCCACGCACTGCAGAACTGTTTCCTAGAATGACCTGTTAACGCTGCCTTCGACCCGATGTTAACAAAACGAACCTATAGTTTCGCTTATGGTGGTTATCACCAAAGGTATCAAACTTAGGCTCACGGTTATGTCCACGCGTCTCTACTATAACACATTCACTCGCTAATCTCTCCACAGTATCTGAGAAGTTCTGGGAACACTTCCTGCAAAATCTTTTGTTTCGCACTATCCGAAGACGATTTAGTGCTAAAGCCTGTTCAACGATGTTAGAATTTAGAAGCCCACTAGTAATGAACTGTTGCAGTTGACTTGACAGCTTCGCCTAACATTCAAGTGCTACTCCAAATTTATGGCCTCATCTACTAAGCATTTCAAATAAAAGTATACAAATAGCATTTTGCACGAAGTGCATTAACTGGATGAAATAATTTTTAACGTTTCGTATAATAGATCAAAAAATCATGACTCCCTGTAATGATGTGTAGTTTTACCAAGTTGACTTTGTTTAACAGAGGTGCCGATCGATTTAACAGCTTTGGCAAAGACTAGGAAGGAACGGAACACCCTGTTTGAGTTGTATTTAGAGCAAAATGACAGGTGGACATAAATAAGTACGAAGCATCACTAAGAGATAACTAACACTCAAACACCTCTTAGATGCTTTGTGGTCAACTCAGCAATCCAAGTCAGTGAGCATCCCAAGAACGCCTTGAAAGCACTATGTTGTACTATGGAACTGTGAAGCAATCCCTTCCCTGGGCTTCATTCCATATTCGTTTTCTAAGGCGTACCAATACTAGTCCTATGTTAAACCTAGACCAATGCGCCATTCGACGTCCATGTTTTTTACTAGCAATCAGGAAGCAGAAGGAAACATAGCAGACCTAGGGCACGTCATGATGAGTCTGAGCGATGTGAGATTTGTCAAAGGTTTAGTCTAATAGCAGAATACGTTTGACTAAACCCTACCAAATAATCAGCAGTACTAATAAATAGGTTTTAATGTTTTAATGCCTTGTGTAACAGCTTGCCAACAATCGTTCAACTTAAGATTAAATAAGACTCCAATGAAAATGCTGACTAACACCTTAGCAAACTCTGGGAGCTGATTCGTAATCCACAAAAAGGAACCGACGTTTACTTATAGAATGGGGTTCACTACTATCGGAGTTGTCGTGAGCAGTCTACCTATCTACCCCATTAGGTTAATCACAAAGTTTCTTATATGTTAGAGCCTTGTCTAGAAGTCATCTACCCGTAACTATGCGCATTTCTCTGTCGAATTCCGGCACAGCAGTTCTAAGGCAAACAGCTTTGACAAGCATAGAAACAATTCGGGAGTGTTCTAATAAATTATTTTCTATTCCAGAACGACCCAACGTCAACAATTACAGTGCCAGTTCTTTGATATGCAACTGCTAAGATCAAATCTAATCGCAACAGCCCATAGTTTAGCGATATATGCAGAGGTGACCAGCACGACCAGATGGGTGCTCGCTTACAGGTCGTGGTTTATCCAGCTATGACTCCTCTTTTTGTCTCTCTAGAAAAATATCGTAGACCTGTCGAATGAAGTATATCATTACTCAGAAAGCTGCTCGTTTGCCAGAGGCAATATTTTTTATAGGGACCTATAGACTTATCTATAGAACTTTATAGATATGTACGATGCTCCAGATCCGCTTTCTATCCTATTAGATTAGATATTTTCCTGGCTTATTTTAGATAAATGTACGATTCCACGAACGCCGTGCCGAATGAGCCTGTAGTGCGATATGGGACAGACAATGCAGAGGAAGATTGTATAGCCGCCGACATCACAGCCAGTAAAATGACAGCAGCGCTCCAACAGCTTAGATTCAACAAGGCGCTGATCCAGATTAAATCAGGCTTGAACACCATTAAGATGTGGTAATGTTGGTCCCATGCTGGACTTCTATCTATAAAGATTGTATACATGACAGAAGAATACTACATGACTCGCTAAAAGCATTCCTTCCTGTCACTCGAAAGGCAAAGGCGGTTTTTTTAATCGAACCCGTAAAGGGAAGTTACTAAAAAATGCTGCAAGAACGTGCCATACTTTTCACGCGTTTTTCTGTTCTCTTAGGGGGTCGAAATATGATCCGGAAGAACAACACGATATCCGTAAGGGAAATCAACAAAGGCTGCTTGGCATATCCTGCTTGCCCAAAATAGAATCAACCATGAATACAATGGACACTAAATAGTTTATCTATGCTATATTCATCGAGTTTAAAACGGCCACTGACAAATCATTGACAGAATGGACGTTGTTCAAGCTTACAGCGGCAGGAATGCCCCCCTAATCCAGCTTATTGTTTGCGATCCTGCAACAGAACTCCATTACGAAACAAGTTTGCGTAACAGAACTGGACACTTTCCAACAGTGGCTCAAGGCGGCAACGTCAGCCGCTTACTTTTCCTAGTACTTCTGAACTATTATTCAAGCCGTATCGATTAGCATGAGTATACAAGAAAAGTTGTTCCACTCTACGCCGGTCATCTTGCGATTGAGGGGTAAATCGCCTTAAATTCAGATATTAGCCTGCGTGCAGCAGTACGTAACGGAGACCTTTAGGACCAACGCCATAAAACTCTATAGAACAAGGCCTCTAGCAGCAATCGATGCTCCCTGGTGATATTCTGCGCCCTTATGTTACGTAACGCATTTCTAGGCCTAAATCTATTCTACTCCAGGACCTACTCTGACACCGGAAGTGTAGAACATAACGCTTTAGAGAAACCATGATGGCAAGCACTGGTATAAGGAAACCGTTATTCCTCTCTTTGAATAAGACGATTCATACTTTTAATATCAAGCTTGCCCGAATGGCCTTCTGTATTACCCAACTCATCGAGAAGAACCTTGAAACAGCCCAACTGTGTAATCTGCAACGGGTGAAGTTTTGTTTTTCCTGAGCGGCTGCTCAAGGTAGCACTAAGACTACACGCATCCTACCATAATCACTATGTGTATTTTGCCAGCTGATACAATAAAAACTACATCGGTGTGCGTTGCAGTCTTTTGTAAGCCGTACCATGCAAACTCACGTCCAAGACGCCTTCCTTGAACTCACCTAGCATAGCGCAATGAAGAATGGCGCATTCTTCTCTGCACTAAGCTGTGTGTTATGTATTATATATACTTTGTGTTAAAATTCGTTTTTTTAAAATTCCATATTGTTTATATACAAGGTACCTAATAAAAATGAAAATGAAGAGAACTTAATGTAGATCACAGACAAAAGTATGAAATACTTAAAACTTACAATTAAGGTCGATGATAACACTGGCTGAGACAGGAAATGAAATATTGTTATTGGATGCCATGCAAGTAAACGTAGCCATGAGGTCGTTTCGCGTGAGAGAGGGTATCCGAAGCACGTTCTTCGATATCCCGTTAGACACGTTATGGTTGTCATCCAAAAGATAAGACTCCCTCCACCAAGTCACCATAGGAGGCGGATTTCCTATCAAATTTAGCAATACAATTCAAGCACATATTTTAGAACGTTACATATAAATGCAAGTGGGTTCAACTTTCTGTTTAGGAAAAAGATTATGTTGTCAGAGTGGTACGGGTTTAACCGATGATGTTGACGCAACACGTACCGAACTGTTGTCGTGTTTATCCATTGGTTTCTAATTCATATCAGAGGAGGCAAAATAACTGCACAAGGGTAACGTCTCAGGCAGAACAGAATAACTGTTACGTATACTATGGTTCACATTGAGCTTGATGTAACATTAATGAATGAAAATAAGCTAATCAAAATATGACGTCTGAAGGCTGCTGATATGCTTGAGTATACAGCATCTACATATGTTTGAAATCCAAATCAATACCTTAAACTACCGCTAAGAATATGTTATATACCTATATCATACGTCGACATAATAATGGGCAAAACAACATGATTTTGAAATTAAATTTTAGCCTTGCGCCTAAGATTGACCCCTGGAATAAGTATTGAGAATATTACTACACGAACTCTCTGTCTGCCAAAAAATAGTACATTTTTAAAAAAATCAATGGTTTAGCTGCTAAGGTAACCAAAAAACCTTAAGCGCGTGTTTTATCTTTTTATACAAAGACGTATTCATTCACATACCTTACCTTATAAAAATCCGAAATCTGTATTTGCTGAATAAAACTTGTTTTGAAGTTAAAAGCAATCAATTGTGTACTTTCTGAAGAAATTTTCGAGACTAGGTCGGCTTCTACACATCTGGTAACACACATAAAATCTGATACGCACTACAAAATGCTATAAACCTGGCTTAGAGGTAAAAATATTCAGTTCTTGAATTAAATTGCGTAGGATGCACGCATTTTCTTCTCTCAAGGTGAAACATCTATGCGTGTCGATAGACATGGCACTCAAACTTATAATCTTCTTCGAGATCAGGTGAAGTAGGTAGGATCTTTACCGGTATATAGATCGGTGCAGATTTAATTTTGCCACAGACAGTGGAAATATGTATGGCCGACTCTAGTCTCAACATTTCCTATAAAAAAAACACATTATTTTGCACTTAATCTTGAAGTTATACTTATTTATTAAGAAAATAAGTAGCTAAAAAAATTCTTAAGAATTAACTCTTTTTTCTCACGCAAACGTCTTAAGAAGAAATCCGAAATGTGTCATCACAAAAACCTAAACCGCAGTTTTGCTGGTTCCTAATTAGAGAGAAGAATAGACATATAATGCATTTCAGAAAAAAATAAACAATTTATTAAGGAATTATTTCTCCTTCTAGGGAAAAACAACTACCAGGACATATTCTAATGATATTGCCAGTTCGTTGTTGGTATTTGAAATGTATTAAGACTCACCTCCTTCAACTTGACAAACAAGTATAAGCTTGTCACCCTCATTATAAGGCCCAATAACACTTTTCGTTGGTAGAATTTCGCCATTTTGGTCGGTGATGATAGGTTCACTTGGAGGCACTAAGATCAACACAATCGTACATATTAGACAACTACTGCATAAGCACCAAGTTAACCGTGATGTGACTTTGACAGGCCAGATAACCATTATATGATCTGTGTCACAGTACCACAGTTCTCATATATTTCTTCCACATTTAAAGTAAACTTAGACATAGATAGCTCTTTCAATATGCTAAGCATACCTTGTCACTTCGATGACGAGAACCTGTATAATCAGTTGAGACATACATATTAAGTTTTTCGTTTTGCAATTTTTTTAAAAACGGAGACTGTATTTGAAAAGGTTTACTGTTATTTTCATGATTAAAACGTTCGAACAAAGCTGAACGCTTTTGAACTTTTAAGCGTCAGAGCGTCTCTTAACACAACTTTAACACTGGGCCATTCGAAACAATACCTATATTGACATGTTTGTAATATGTGCATACCTAAGTGATTATCTGTATTTACTTACGAATTACTCCTAACTGGACCTGATAGTTTCTCGTGCGAGCTTTCTTAAAGTCCACGCGGCACCGATAGAGACCTTCGTCGCCCTCTTGTAGGGGTGTCATTTGTAGTACAGATGGTGACACTTCAGTTTTTAGGTATGCCCTGTGGGCCAGCCATCCTGCAGGTGAGTGGTGGGCCTTGCGAAGATTTGTTTTGCGAGCATCTGCAGAGTATATTGGAGTAGTATGATCGTCTTTATACCAAAGAACGAGAGATACCTCATCATCAGTGGTATTCGGGTGGATATCACAGGGGAGATTCACACGTTCTCCGAGTACTCCCATTATCGCTATTGTAGGTTCTGCAATAATAAGTAATAAAAATTGTTATAAAAAAAGTTACTCTATCTTTGTTCTGTGTTGCCGTTTTCCACCGTTTTTCCTGTACCTACCTTCAACAATAGCGATTCTGCAACCTATACTTCAATACATTTAACATATCACTTAGCTATCTTGTGATAACCGCTTGTGTTTTGGCAACAAACCCATTTTTTTAATCAATTATGCTACAACACTTAGGATCATTTAACACACCACGTAAAAGCTTCAAATTCCTTGATCTGTTGGGTAAACGCATAACATACATTTCTGTCAAGCGAAGATAGCCAATAGTCCACATTTGAGGGTACTGATCACTTTTGGAAGCCTTTTTCTATGTAGAAATTAAAATGATAGAATTGAGTGCCTATTTTCAGAACGAAGTGAAATACGTAGTGCGTTTGATTTGAGGCGTGAAATCAAAAGCCTAAACACCAAAATATCACCCTGCGAGTATATTTTCTCGACTACTTACCGGAACCGATTCGACTAAAATATTACTTTTTGTTTAAGGCTATTTCAATGAGTTTTAATAAATAACTTTAAGGTTAATAGATAGGGTTATATTGAAAAACAGTAAGCTAATTAACGAAATAATTTAATATTATAGATAATCTGAGCCTGCTATTTCCTGCTTCAGCATCTTCCATTCCGATTCGAAGGGGCGATGCGGAATTTGCTTTGGAAATATCATACTCTCCTTTATATATTATTATGCTAAAGTAAAGCATAACCTTATGACTTCTACAAGGGGTAATTTACACTAGATTATCATTTAACATAATTATTTTTTTAGCATCCTATAAGCGGGCTAATGCTCAACATTTATTTTTTTAATTTATGTTATACTACACGTATCACAATGATTAAAGTACACAGATACATTCATTTGATAGCAATTACTTAGGCAGCGTCCTAGAAAATATTGTTAATTCTTGCAGCCTTTGTAATAGCTGCTGTCGATGTTGTCTGGTCACTTTGAAGACTGAATATTAAATCTGTTTAATTTTGAAACTTTGCTAGTAAGGTTCGTAGTAGAAAATAAGTGTCAAATACACGCTACAATTGCTTCTATGTGGTTTTTGTATTATTGTATGTTGATCTCGCAAAAGTAAAGATGTTTTGGAACTGCTAGATTTCTATGAATATTTAGGTATAACGTTGGTATCTCCGCAATAATATAACAAAAATAAAGTATATAAACCAATACTGAAGACTGTATCACTGTGTAGTATAAGTATCTCCTAATAGCCATTAGATCTAGTACTGGCTTATTGTTTAGGAAATAGATTTTTCAGGAATGCATATTCGGGAGCGAGTATTCTCATATTACTACTAAAACATGATTTAAAAACTAGTTTCATCAGCCTCTTTTTTGAGCCAGATGTTAGCCTAACTGTATGAATAGTTGTCGTTAAACTCTTCATGTTTAGAATGTAAACCTGAGGTAATATAGGCTCAAAATAATCACCATGAAATGACTACAACGCAATAGCTCATCGTATTAATAGTTGATGCAAATGGTGTTTAGCGGCTAAAATTACAGGCATGTAAAGTGGGCTGGGTTCAAAACCGGGCGTCTCGATGATGACTGACTATGGTAGAATAAACCAGTTTGGCATGAACCTCGTATGAGGTATCCACATAAAAAGGTCTTTCCCGTAAAAATATCCACCTGCACTGCGAGATTAACGGCCATGACCTAAAGTATCAAGTATTTAAATGCTTAATTTGGAAAGGACAAATGTTTCCTACGAGAGATAAAATGTACAATATATTGTCAATGCCGGAAGGACACATGTAGTTGCGTAGCTTGAATGCCGATCTTGTGCATCTCATGGCTTCCGTGGATATGAAAATAAAGGCTCTACCGGCACTTATGAAGAACTCTAGATCAAATGTCGACTAGGGTCTAAACACCTACATATAGTTTGAAAACCAGACGTAAGCACACTTCTTTCGTACCGAAAGCCAATCATAATAATGCTTAATAGCATAAAACTCGAAGCATATATTAGTTTATTAGATGTTCTTATCGAGATGTAAATAAGTTTAATGCGCAAATTTACTTACATTTTGTTGACGCAAAATTTTATAACATCTATAACTATTGAATTTATGACATCAGCCTACAAGCTTAAAGCTCTGCAGGGTTATATGTCTCATAGTATATCGAACAAAAAGGTTCATATGTCATTTATGCAACCTGCTACAAAAAAAAGAACTGGTTTAAGATCTGCATTTCATGCGGGGCAGTTTAGTGGTTTTACAAATTTTAGATTCTGGCATATGTAGAATGGCAAGTTATGATTCTTGTAAAAACGGTTGTAGTCAAATTGATATTTTTTTTGCCTTTTAACGAAAAAGTTAGTAGAACAATTTAAAGATTCAACATTCAGTTGGCTAAATATGTTATTTTAGAATCACTCGATCCGAAACTCATTTTCGAAATCCAAAGCAAAGTATATTTATTACTTACAGGTTAGCTTGATTATTAGGATAATATATAATTCTCATCCCAGTAGACAATAGGTATACAGCGACATTTTTGGCGCCTCTAATACACTTCAGACATTTGAAATTTGATGTAATTCTCAATCTGTATATATACAATAGTGAATAATAATAATGCGTTGTCAGTTCTGTAACCCCTCCCCCGCCCCTGGAGCAGGCAGTAATACGTTAACGGCTGGCGACCACCGCTGCGGAACCCCCACGAAGAACAGTGAACTCAAGACTATTTATTGGTGAAGCGTCTGAGGCGACCTGCCTACTGGCATTCACGAAGACAAGAAATAACCGTAAGTCAGCAGCGTTTCTGAATTATTTTTGTTCGCCTTCGTCTTTTTCGCTGATGGCTTCTAAGAAAAGCAAACTTCAAAAGAGAAAAATCCTAGTTGACGCTGCCACAGCTCAACAATAGTGAGAGCCCCTGGAGGCGAAATCAAAAAAAGGTGGCGAGGCACGACGAAAGAAACCACATACAGACGAAAGTTAATGATGTCTCTATTAACCAAACTACTTAGTCAACTGTAAGCTACTCCTCTTAGTTCTAACTTTCGGTAATTATGTTATTTACAGCCCATGCCTCTTGAATGAGGTACATTTTTTGCTCTAAACGAGGCAATTGGCTGGAGGTCCAACAATATATTTAAAATGTATGTGAACTCGAATGATACTAATTTTTATTGAATTATAGCATCGCCTCTTAGTGGGTATAGTGAAAAATATGGAATTTATAATCAAACTGAATCAAAATTTGCCTACAAAAAAGCTTCTAAATCTTATCACTGCGTTTACTTGCGTATTAAGGTGTAGACGACTTCCGTTGCATATCATACGCGCATTGTGAATTGTCTTAGAACTACCTCGGCTCAAAGCAGAACTATTTTATCGACATATGTGTTTGCTTACAACACAGATAGTAATAAAAGATGCAAAAGAAGGCCTTGAGGAAATTTTATACCGGCTTAGGATGAAGTTTCAGGCAGCACCGTATTTTCATACGCGTCGGATTGGACCCATCTGGTTTTGGGCTAAGACCTTGCGCCGAAAGGAAAAATAAAAGCGCAGCTTCTCTTTCAATATATTTCAATGATCTCAATGATCACGGCTCAGGTCCGTTTTAATAATCGTTTGATGTGTAATGATAGAATTAATCAGTATGCTTCCAGTTATGATGCAGAGACAATCGTTGCTAAATAAATCATAGTATAAATAGTTCTACACAATGCTGTTCATATATCTATCCTTTTGTAATTTGTATTTCAGCCCTACAAAGAAAAATACATTCGTTCATAATATGATTCTATTGACCATATTAACATTATTTTCATTACAATTTGTGACGTGCTGTCCAGCCAACATAATTGTTGGCTCGCGCTGTAGCTCTAAAGCCACATCTTGTTTTGAAAAGGCTATCGATAGTGGCTCTAGGCTTAATTGACCAGGCCTCTTCCCCAAGTTTTTGATAAATTTAAGAGCATCCTTGCCCGGCACACGAGACCTATAAGGCAATAAGGCAAAAATTTTAAATCGTCGACTAGGTAGTAGACATCTGTCCATCTTACGCTACTAAATGATATGACCTATCTCAATCATAGCCCGCCCCCCATAGCTTGGACATCAACGATGGTTATACTTCATGTTAGGGACCTAATCCTTTTTAGCCAGATCGCTAGAAAATATGGTGCTACCTGAGATGCTGAGTACATTCGACGCGTGTGCAATTGACATTCGCATGCGACTTTCTCAACGCCTTCTTCTGCACCTTTTACAACTATCTAAATGCAAGGAAGCACATGTGCCTAAGACATCGCTCGTGACATCCTATCGGTCTTGTTTTATACAGCCGGCTTTAGGCAAGTTAATGTGTATAACACATATTCCGCCATCTCGACACATAGTAACTTTCCCTTTAAAACACAGCTTAGTTAAGGCCACTAACTGGTGAAAACTGGTTGTCGGTGAGAACCGTTTCTACAAGTTCAAAGGGCAACACATCAGGCGATGCTCTTTCGCTGTTAGATGATATTGTATTTCGCCAAGTAATGTTCAGGTCACATCAGAGATCGACAAAAGCCTTCAGCAAGGCTTCAGGCAATTTCCTTTCTTTGTCTTACTTCTGCTGCTTCTTGGCCTTTTCTGACAGACGATCTAGCTAGCTCGTGTCTTAATACCGAAAATTTAATAATCTTCGGTATTAAGACTGATATAGATAATACCTCTTATTGGGCGGTTACAGGTGTAATAGAGTGAGAAAAAGACTGTTGGCCAAACAAATGTCAATTTTCTTAGTACACGCGAAGGTAAAGCTCAGCGGCATTTGTGTAGGTTAAGATCAGTTGCAACCTCCAGAGCCTTTTGCATTGTGTCATTCGGAATCAACGCTTTAAACGGCAGCAGAAATCAAACCTGGTTGGTGAGGTGCCTTGATCTGTAATAGTCTGAAAGCTCCTTTTAATCAGCCAAAATAGGGAAGACG